GTCTCCCTTCCTAATCAACAGTACAACTCACCTGGTCTCCTCACCCTCCCCACTTGGTCTCTTCAACCTCCCACCTGGTCTCCTCAATCTCCCACCTGGTCTCCTCACCCCCACCTGCTGTTCTCACCCCCACCCTTCCCCCACCTGGTCTCCTCACCACCTGGCTCCCCTCATCCCCACCTGGTCTCTCTCACCCCCAATTGTCTCACCCCCACCTGGTCTCCCTCACCTCCCCACCTGGTCTCCCCATCCCCCACCTGGTCTCCCCACCCCCACTGGTGTTCTCACCCCCCACCTGAGCCCTCACCCCCACCTGGAGTCTCTCACCATCCCCCACCTGGTCTTCCTCATCCCCCACCTGGTCTTTCATCCCCCCACCTGGTCTCTCACCTCCACAGTGGCTTACGGTCGGTCGAGGTAGTCCAGTAAGTTAGAAGTAATGCTGTGTACCGCTTCACTCTAGACAGTAAGGGCAGGTGAAGGGTATAATCCTTTCTCAATATATATAGACAAGGTTTAACTATCCTCCTCCAGTGCTAATGAGCGTATAGGTGGCTTCTCTTCCACGTGCAGGCCAGGTGTGTTCCTTATCAACCCAGGTAAAATGGGGGGTGGGAGAGGGCTGGGGGTGGTGGCAGGATCGGGGGTGGGAGAGGGTCGGGGGTGGTGGCAGGGGATCGGGGGGTGGGTGGGCAGGAGGGTTTGGGGTGGGAGGAGGGTCGGTGGGTGGCAGAGGGTCGGGGGGGGTGGGCAGGGACAGCAGAGGGTCGAAGGTCTATGGCAGAGGATCAGGGGATGTGTGGCAGAGGGTCAGAGGTGGGTGGCAAAGGTAGGGAATGTTTGGCAGAGGGGTCAGGGGGGGTTGGCAGATTGTCGGAGGTGTGTGGCAGAGGGTCGAGGGGGTGTGGCAGAGGGTCAGGGAGGAGTGTGTGGCAGAAGGGTCAGGGAGGAGTGGCAGAAGGGTCAGGGAGGAGTGGCAGAGGGGTCAGGGATGTCAGTCAACCAGTATAATGTTTATCACCTGACAGAGGAGGAACGCGGCCTTAGTAGTACACGGATTCTGTGCTGTTATCTCTGACGCTGTGGCCGAGTGGGAAGGTCACTCAACATTTATTTAGGAGTATCTGTTTACACTCCTTGATACACCCAGCAGTACACTCCCTGATACACCCAGCAGTACACTCCCTGATACACCCAGCAGTACACTCCCTGATACACCCAGCAGTACACTCCTTGATACACCCAGCAGTACACTCCCTGATACACCCAGCAGTACACAGCTTTACTAAATAACATTGACACTAATATAATTTTAATAGTCGTAGTTCGTCCTATGAATAAAAATTATAATCAATAATAAATGGAGTAAACGAGAAAAAAAAGGCTTATTTGTTAATGGTGATGTTTGTTATTATTCCCAGGATGACCAAGTGTAGTGCTGTACAGTGAGAGTGTGTTAAGTCGTTAGTGTCGACAGTTGAATACCTGTATCTGATTGGTCGAGATATATAGTGGCATGTGACGTAATAAAAGTGTGACATGTGACGTAATAAAAGACTTTGGCTCTCTGCTGTTACGACCTAACCTAACCTAACCTAACCTAATTCAGACTAATTTAATCAAACTTAACATAACTTAACATGACTTAGCGAATATTACCCGAATTAACTGTATATATGTGTGTGTGTGTGTGTGTGTGTGTGTGTGTGTGTGTGTGTGTGTGTGTGTGTGTGTGTGTGTGTCCTTGTAAGAGTTTGCTTATGTGAATAGGTGACTCTTTTGTGTGCGTTTGTTTACTGTGTTTTATGTGCTTGTTTGTTTGGTTTAGGAAGTTTATCTGTGTTTGTATGAGTGTTTGTTTGTCTTGGTTGTTTGTGTGTATTATCGCTTATGTGCGTGTTTGTGACTACTTTGAGTGCGTGTTTGTTTTGTGAGTGAGTGAGTGAAATCACCTCATCTGCCGCCTCCTCACCTGTGCTTCACCTCACGTGTTCATTAACCAATGTGACACCTTGTTACCTGGTGTGATTAATGACCTATTATTTGTAGACGACGGAGCTAACTGCTTCTTGTTGAGTCTAGCAGAGTCTCACCCCAGATATGGCGCCATTAGGGTATTGTACCTATTAGAGCTCTTAAGGTTGGTTTTCCTCCTTATCAACACGGGATCTTCAACCTAAACTTCCGTCACTGTTTACTGTTATCTTACCTTGATTGAAATTGGATCTTTAAGGGATAATTTTGTTTGTTAAGACTTTGAGATTTTCGACTTAATGGATACCTGTACATAACCTTATCTTGTTGGGATAATAAGAAATACTACAAGGGTATAATTTTCCTACCATTTGACTACGGATTTTCGACTCTATTTTTTTTTTACCTGTTGTTTACGTTCTTCTTGCCCTTAACAGTAGCGGGGAGTGGCAGCAACTGAACTCCTTAACTTTCACAGACCATAACAACCGTAATTGCTAGTTCCCAGGTCGTAACGTCACCTGACCCTTATATCTCCCCGACGAACCAATTGGGCCCTGTTGTTGATGCTATCCCCCAGACCGAGGCATCTGTCGGTAATTGATTTAATATGGAGTTAAGACATCGGTCGAGGTGCTTACTAGGACCTGGTGACGTCTGGCTCCACTTACTGAACAACGCGAAGATTGTGGTGGTTGTATTGGAGGCTGTGTGAGGCGCCTTCTGTTGGCTTCTTCTTCTTCTTCTTCTTCTTCTTCTTCTTCTTCTTCTTCTTCTTTTTATTCCTCATCATCATCATCTTCCTGTTCCTCCTCCTCCTCCACCTTCTCCCTGTTCTTTGCTTCCTCCTCCTCTCTATAATCTGCATCCTCTCTTCCTTCTCATTTTCTTCTTCTCCTCTCCTAATTCCTGTCCTTTGTTTTCACCTCTCAATTACACCTTCCCTTCCCCACCTTCCACTGACCATGGTGTTTATTCTTGGTATATATGTAGGTATATTCACCCTGATAAAGCCCCCTTAGAGGTGGTATATGCCAAAGGTCAAATGTGAAGGTCATAGTTCTGGTTTAGTTTTCCCCGTAACGTAACCCAAGAGAAATGTAAAGGGTCGTGATTGATAGGTTAATTACAGGTGTCGTGCAGGTGTGTACTAGTGTCCGTTTACTCATCTGTCCAAGAGAATTTAAATCAAACCCACACCCCCAACCAACCATCATAACCCACACCCACTCACCATAACCCACACTCACCCACTTACCTCACCCTATAAACAATATTAATCACCCCCTAGGAGCTAGTTCTTACCTCCTCCCTTTACCCTTCCCCCTTAACTGATCGCCCCACCCTACCCCTTCCCCACCCCACCCCACCCAACCCCACCCCACCCCATCTCTCCTTTATTGCCCAGGTGACAGGTAAACATCGCCCCTAATTACTCATACCTGAAGGTGCATAATCCCTCATGTGATTTACCTGTACATCCTGACATACCTGTGTGATGGTACTTGTTTTTACGTGGTTCTTGGATGGATGGATGGATGGTTGGTTGGTTGGTTGGTTCTCTTGCTGTTGTGGGGGTACTTCTGTATGGTTCTAGACGGTTCATAGTGGTTCTGAGGCTCACGTACTTGGGGATAATGATCAACAAGAACTTAAATGCCAAATACTACCGAGTGTCCAAGGAATTTTGTCCACAACTGTACACAATAATTATTTTCAAATGCTGTTACAGTACAATGCGCCATAAGCACAAAGAGACACTATTCTTAGGGTAAATATTAATTAAAGCGTTCATAGAAGTAATTGAAAACTTGGTACAATGACATAAAGAAATTATAGTTTAGTTGATAAAATGATAAGGACTAAATGAACTGAGGTGTATGTATGTCTGTATGTATGTATGTATGTATGTAATGCATGTAATGTATGTGTGTATGTATGTATGTATGTATGTATGTATGTATGTATGTATGTATGTAATGCATGTAATGTATGTATGTATGTATGTATGTATGTATGTATGTATGTATGTATGTATGGCCTAGCCTTGATATGTGGCCTACCTATCCAGTATACAGTTTGATGTATTTTGAGACGCATGGATACAGTATACATAATGTATATCTTATGTATAGCTTCACGTATCATAAACCGTATTATAAGCCGTATCATAAACCTTATATAGAGACAACATTATGAGGAGTGTAGTGCGAGGTGAACCAGATCACGCGAAGACAATAGGTACTTCTCATAGCGTGACTAAATTAATAACATTATTTATTTCTTACACCTGACTTTGCCATTAGAATTAATTTATTGTTTTGTAACACTTAGTTAAAAAGCCATTATGTAGAATAGGGAGGAGTAGACCGAGGTAAATGCGACGTAGACCGAGGTAAATGCGACGTAGTACGAGGTAAATGCGACGTAGAATGGGGTGAATGCGATGCAGAACGAGGTAAATGCGACGTAGAACGGGGTAAATGCGACGCAGAACGAGGTAAATGCGACGTAGAACGGGGTAAATGCGACGCAGAACGAGGTAAATGCGAGGCAGAACGGGATAAATGCGACGCAGAACGAGGTAAATGCGACGTAGAACGGGTAAATGCGACGCAGAATCGGGTAAATGCGATGCAGAACGAGGTAAATGCGACGTAGAACGGGGTAAATGCGACGCAGAACGAGGTAAATGCGACGTAGAACGGGGTAAATGCGACGCAGAACGAGGTAAATGCGAGGCAGAACGGGATAAATGCGACGCAGAACGAGGTAAATGCGACGTAGAACGGGGTAAATGCGACGTAGAACGAGGTAAATGCGAGGCAGAACGGGATAAATGCGACGCAGAACGAGGTAAATGCGAGTCTCTTATATTGTAGTTAAGTTTGGCTTTTTTGACACCAGTCCCACATCCAACACAGAGACTTGATTATAACACGTTGTCTCTTGTAACTATCTAATGACCAAGGTAACTCATTAGCATACTAGCAAGGACAGTAGTACTAGTTGCTATTCCCTCTTCTTCACCCGTTGTAAGAACCTGATACAATGTACCAAGAAATAGAGAAAATAACAGAGGTTGAAGGTGAACATTGGTGTTTAAATATTGCATTAGTTCAGCAAAGTCATTGGGAGGTTGGGTGTGTGTGTGTGTGTGTGTGTTTGAGTGTGTGTGTGTGTGTGTGTGTGTGTGTGTGTGTGGTTGAATGTTTGTGTGTGTGTGTGTGTGTGTGTGTGTGTGTGTATTCAAGGCTTTAGGTCCTCTTAAAACAACAAGTCATCAGCAGACCACAGCATCCACAGATAATTATAGAGGAATCACCTGAAGATCAGACACCCCAGCTTATTTTACCGTAATATTAACCACTCTAATGCTAACCTAACCTAACCTAACCTAACCAAACCTAACCAAATCTAACCTAACCTAACCTATCTAACCTTAACTTAAACCCACAAGAAAGATGCAGATGGAGAGTCTAATTCAGGTGATCCAAACCATCCTCCCAAATGATGGTAGATGAGGCCACACTCGCTAGGTTACCACAGCTGGGCAGGTCAGCTCCGGTCAGCCAGCCAAGGTGAATGTTAGTTGAATGTTATGTGAATGTTATGGGTTGTGGAGCTCCTTCTGGGTGTAAGACGATGGTCACGGTCTGGGAGGGAGGGGTGGACGGAGGGGGCAAAAGGGAGGGAAGGAGAGGGAAGAAAGGAGATGAGAGGGTGGGAAGGAGGGAGGAAGGGGAAAGAGGAAAGAAAGGAGAGAAGGACAGGGAGAGAAGGAGGCAGGAGGAGGGAGAGAAGGAGGCAGGAGAGGGAGAGGAGGAGGCAGGAGGAGGGGAGAGAAGGAGGCAGGCGTGAGGAGAGCAGGAGGAGTGAGGGAGAGCAGGAGGCAGGAGTGAGGGAGAGAAGGAGGTAGGAGTGGGAGAGAGAAGGAGGCAGGAGTGAGAGAGAGAAGGAGGCAGGAGTGAGAGAGAGAAGGAGGTAGGAGGGAGGGAAGTCAAGGCGCCTCTGAGACTTAATAAGACCAATGGTGGAACACGAAGCCATTACAACTTGACTTCATGCTAATGGGTAGAATAGTGAACACGAGGCCCCATTACCACTGTGGAAGGTGGGGGTGTCAGACGGCAGGGGATGTCAGACGGTGGCGTGTGCAGACGGTGGCAGGGGTGTCAGACGGTGGCAGGGGTGTCAGACGGTGGCAGGTGTCGACGGTGGTAGGGGTGACGGTGGCAGGGGGTGCAGACTTGCAGGGGATGTCAGACGGTGGCAGGGTGTCAGACGGTGGCAGGGGTGTCAGATTTGCAGCAGGGGGTGTCAGACGGTGGCAGGGGGTGTCAGACGGTGCAGGGGTGGCAGACGGTGGCAGGGGGTGTCAGACGGTGGCAGGTGTCAGACGGTGGCAGGGGTCAGAGGTGTCAGACGGTGGCAGGGGTGGCAGACGGTGGCAGGGGTGTCAGATGTGTGGCAGGGGGTGTCAGATTGGTAGGTGTCAGACGGTGGCAGGGGTAGATTGCAGGGGGTGGCAGACGGTGGCAGGGGTGTGTCAGACGGTGGCAGGGGTGTCAGACGGTGGCAGGGGTGTCAGACGGTGGCAGGTGGCAGACGGTGGTAGGGTCAGCTCTGCAGATGGTGAGTATGGGTGGGCAGACGGGGTCAAGGTGGGGCTGGTGGTAGGCAGGTGATCGACGCCAACCTTGATACTGTGCCAAACTCTCACTGCTGTCACTCTTCACTTGTCACCCTTCACTGCTGTCACTCCTTCACTGCTGTCACTCCTTCACTCTTGCTGTCACTCTCACTGCTGTCACTCTTCACTCTTGTTGTCACTCCCTCACTGCTGTCACTCCTTCACTGCTGTCACCTTCACTCTTGTTGTCACTCCTCACTGCTGTCACTCCTTCACTGTCACCTTCACTCTGTTGTCACTCCCTCACTGCTGTCACTCCTTCACTCTGTCCTTGCTGTCACCCTTCACTGCTGTCACTCTTCCTCTTGTTGTCACTCCCTCACTGCTGTCACTCCTTCCACTGCTGTCACCCTTCACTGCTGTCACTCCTTCACTCTTGCTGTCACTCCCCACTGCTGTCACTCCTTCACTGCTGTCACCCTCTCACTGTTGTCACCTTCACTCTTGTTGTCACTCCCTCACTGCTGTCACCCTTCACTGCTGTCACTTCTCTCACTCTTGTTGTCACCTCACTGCTGTCACTCCTTCACTGCTGTCACTCCTCACTGCTGTCACTCCTTCACTGCTGTCACTCCCCTCACTGCTGTCACCTTCACTGCTGTCACCCTTCACTCTTGTTGTCACTCCCCCACTGCTGTCACTCCTTCACTCTTGTTGTCACTCCCCTCACTGCTGTCACTCCTTCACTGCTGTCACCCCCTCACTGCTGTCACTCCTCACTGCTGTCACTCCTCTACTGCTGTCATCTTCACTTGTTGTCACTTTCACTGCTGTCACTCTTCACTGCTGTCACTCCCTTCACTGCTGTCACCCTTCACTTGCTGTCACTTCTTCACTGCTGTCACTCCTTCACTGTTGTCACTCCTTCACTTGTTGTCACTCCCCTCACTGCTGTCACTCCTTCACTGCTGTCACCTTCACTCTTGTTGTCACTCCCTCACTGCTGTCACTCCTTCACTGCTGTCACTCCTTCACTGCTGTCATCTCCACTGTGTCACCCTCACTGCTGTCACCTTCCACTCTTGTTGTCACTCCTCACTGCTGTCATCCTCACTGCTGTCACTTCTTCACTGCTGTCACCCTTCCACTGCTGTCACTCCTTCACTGCTGTCACCCTCACTGCTGTCACTCCTTCACTCTTGTTGTCACTCCCTCACTGCTGTCACTCCTTCCACTGTTGTCACTTCTCACTGCTGTCACTCCCTCACTGCTGTCACTCCACTTTGCTGTCACTCCCTCACTGCTGTCACTCCTTCACTGTTGTCACTCCTTCACTCTTTCTGCTGTCACCCTTCCACTGCTGTCATCCTTCACTCTTGTTGTCACCCCTCACTGCTGTCACTCCTCACTGCTGTCACCCTTCACTGCTGTCACCTCTCTTCCCACTGCTGTCATCTTCACTCTTGTTGTCACCCTTCCGTCATCCTTCACTGCTGTCATTCTTCCACTCTTTGTTGTCACCTTGTCCTTCACTCTTGTTGTCACCCCTCACTGCTGTCACTCCTCACTGCTGTCATTCTTCCACTGCTGTCACTCCTTCACCTTGTTGTCACCCCACTGCTGTCACTCCTTCACTGCTGTCACCTTCACTCTTGTTGTCACCCCTCACTGCTGTCACTCCCTCACTGCTGTCATCCCCTCACTGCTGTCACCTCTCACTCTTGCTGTCACCCCCTCACTGCTGTCACCCTTCACTGCTGTCACTCCTTCACTCTTGTTGTCACTCCTCACTGCTGTCACTCTTCCACTGTCACCTTCACTCTTGTTGTCACTCCCTCACTGCTGTCACTCCTTCACTGCTGTCACCCTCTCACTGCTGTCACTCCTTCACCTTGCTGTCACCCCTCACTGCTGTCACTTCTCACTGCTGTCACCCTTCTCATTGCTGTCACTCCCCTCACTGCTGTCACTCTTCACTGCTGTCACCCTTCACTCTTGTTGTCACTCCCTCACTGCTGTCACTCCCCTTCCACTGCTGTCACTCCTTCCACTCTTGTTGTCACTCCTTCACTGCTGTCACTCCTTCACTGCTGTCACTCTTCACTCTTGTTGTCACTTCACTGCTGTCACTCCTTCACTGTCACCCTTCACTCTTGTTGTCACTCCTCACTGCTTCCTCACTGCTGTCAATTCTTCACTCTTGTTGTCACCCCCTTCCTGCTGTCACTCCTCACTGCTGTCACTCTTCCACTGCTGTCACTCCTTCACTCTTGTTGTCACCCTCACTGCTGTCACCTTCACTGCTGTCACCCCTCACTGCTGTCACCTCTACTTGTTGTCACCCTTCCACTGCTGTCACTCCTTCACCTTTGTTGTCACTCCTCACTGCTGTCACTCCTCTCACTGCTGTCACTCCTTCACTCTTGTTGTCACCCTTCACTTGCTGTCACCCCTTCTCTTGTTGTCACTCCCTCACTGCTGTCATCCTCACTGCTGTCACTCCTTCACTCTGTTGTCACTCCCTCACTGCTGTCACTCCTTCACTCTTGTTGTCACTCCTTCCACTGCTGTCACTCCTTCACTGCTGTCACTCCTTCACTGCTGTCATCTCCTTCACTCTTGTTGTCACCCCCTCCTGCTGTCACTCTCACTGCTGTCACTCCTTCACTCTTGTTGTCACCCCTCACTCTGTCACTCCTTCCTGCTGTCACTCCTTCCTCTTGTTGTACCCCTCCTCTTCATCCTGCTGTCACTCCTTCACTCTTGTTGTCTCCTCCTCCTGCTGTCACTCCTTGCTGCTCCTCCTTCACCCTCCTTCCTGCTGTACTCCTTCACTCTTGTTGTCACCCCCTCCTGCTGTCACTCCTTCACTGCTGTCCTCCTTCACTCTTGTCACCCCCCTCTGCTGTCCTCCTTCTGTTGTTTCTCCTCACTGCTGTCCTCCTTCACCTTGTCTCCTTCACTGCTGTCCCCTCACTGCTGTCCTCCTTCACTCTTGTTGTCACCTCCTCTGTCACTCTCCTTCACTCTTGTTGTCACTCCCTCCTGCTGTCCTCCTTCACTGCATTTCTTGTTGTCCCCCTTTCTGTCACTCCTTCCTGCTGTCACTCCTTCACTCTTGTTTCCCCTCTGCTGTCTCCTTCCTGCTGTCCTCCTTCACTCTGTCCTCCTGCTGTCACTCCTTCACTCTTGTTTGTTCCTGCTGTCCTCCTTCACTCTTGTTGTCCCTCCTGCTGTCACTCCTTCACTGCTGTCTCCTTCTCTTGTTGTCACCCCTCCTGCTGTCACTCCTTCTCTCTTCTGTTGTCACCCCCTCCTGTCACTCCTTCACTGCTGTCACTCCTCACTGCTGTCCTCCTTCACTCTTGTTGTCACCTTCTGTCCTCCTTCACTCCTGTCACTCCTTCACT